ACAACTGACCAGCCTGCCAAGTCAAGTCTGCCCTAAGCCACCAAATTCTGCTTACAGGGCTACTGCTACATCTCAAATACAAGGTCAACCGACATTTACTTTCTTGCCAGGTGTCCTTCTGCCTAAGTCCTTCGGATATAATCTCTACTGTCTTTAAAAATACCTTAAACTACTTCCAAGAAGCATGAGGGTAGCTTTCTGGATGGTGTTAAATGTTCTAGTTTGTAATCTGCACACTAGTTACGAAGACATAGAACTGCACACTTGTGATGTGTGTGTGTATTCATGGCATGGTGTGTATACTATATTTTAATAAAAAGTTTAAAGACACTTTTGGACTTCCAGGCAATGAATAATGAATTCGAGTTGGTTGTAATGAATCTCAGGGATGCAGAAAAGAGGGCACTATTATGAACTCCATTCTTACTGGGAGGAAATGAATAACTGAAAATGGACAATTTATCTAATGAGTTTACCTAGCAGATTTATGGATTTTGAATGAATTAACCATAGCACTATCCTCAGCCAGAACATTAATCAGCCAGAAGTCAAGAGTAATAAGGTTTGCAATTAATAATGATAATGTATTTTTCTTAATTCAAATAAATCCTATGGTGAATATAGCACATCACCCATACGGGGTGATGAGAATCTGTTTTCAAGATTAAGTTGGAGAATGACTTGATGACCAAAGAGGAGCACTGCCAACAAAGGATTTGATGAATGTTTTCAGAACTTGGGCCCTCTGGAGACACCTGAAGGACAAAGAATGGCAGGAGGCAGGTAAAGGAAGTTACCACTAGGATCTGGGGTGATGGCTTGAATACACACGTGAAACCCGGAAACAACATCAAATATTCACCTTAGGATCTAAATTGACATTTATAAAGGGTCAACTCTCAGACTAAAGTTCTAAACTTGCCCACTGTGTACCTCCAAATTAGGTCAAGGATCATGCCTTATGCACAAGAAGCCAAAAGGGTGCCATGCTCCTTGACTTCTCCACCTTTGGGGTATCAAACAGCTGCCGGTCTCTCTGCCTCTGCCTGTCGGTCTGGCGAGCCCACGTGCCCTATAACAAAAACCTCTCAAAAAAAAAAAGATGCATATATATTAATGATGTAAAAGTACTCATACCCATTTTTTCAATAGTGAATAAGTGACAGCTAGAATTAAAATATGGAATTACTAGGTTCACCAAGAATAAAATGGTATTTGCCTAGTCACTTATCTCCCTGGACTCCTAGGCCCTCAATCCTCCTGGAGTATTTGGGGGGAATCTGTTTGGGTGTGCAGGGTTTATATTGTTGAGCAAAGAAGTAAAAGCTAATTGAAGGCGAGCCAAAAATTCTGAGAACTGCACTGTATCTATATTGATGTAAAATGCACCAAGAATTTAATTCTTAGAATGGTAGGAATGCAGGGAAATCTCCTTTAAGCAGATCAGAGCCCTGTTCCTATAGCAACCAGAGCAGACACAGACTCCTCTTCATGTTGGTGTGTACCATGACAGGTTTTAGCCCTATTAAGAATAGGGCTGGGGGCCAGCCAGGTGGCATGGTGGTTGATGTGGCTGGATCCTACATAGCCAACAGGTTTGAGTCCTGGTCCCAGTGGCTTTTAAAAAAAGGCAGGGGGACGTGGTTGTTTTTGTCTTTCTCCCTCTCCCTGGCAATCACATATGTTTATAAGCAAATTAAAAAAAAAAAAAAAAAATGAACAGGGCAAGAAATCATGTACTGCGAGCAATTTGGTGAAGTCCTCTCTCTATGCTTTGCTTTTAGAAAACAGGGGACTCTACCCGGAGTGATAAGGGATCAAACTCTGGGGTACCAGGGGCCATAAGCTTCTGATGATTATCTTCTTTCTGAGAACTTCAGAGGCTTGACCAGGCATTCCCTATCAGCCAGATCCTCCTGCTCTCCTTCCAGATGCCAATTGTGACAAAGTAACTCAACCCAACACAACTGACCAGCCTGCCAAGTCAAGTCTGCCCTAAGCCACCAAATTCTGCTTACAGGGCTACTGCTACATCTCAAATACAAGGTCAACCGACATTTACTTTCTTGCCAGGTGTCCTTCTGCCTAAGTCCTTCGGATATAATCTCTACTGTCTTTAAAAATACCTTAAACTACTTCCAAGAAGCATGAGGGTAGCTTTCTGGATGGTGTTAAATGTTCTAGTTTGTAATCTGCACACTAGTTACGAAGACATAGAACTGCACACTTGTGATGTGTGTGTGTATTCATGGCATGGTGTGTATACTATATTTTAATAAAAAGTTTAAAGACACTTTTGGACTTCCAGGCAATGAATAATGAATTCGAGTTGGTTGTAATGAATCTCAGGGATGCAGAAAAGAGGGCACTATTATGAACTCCATTCTTACTGGGAGGAAATGAATAACTGAAAATGGACAATTTATCTAATGAGTTTACCTAGCAGATTTATGGATTTTGAATGAATTAACCATAGCACTATCCTCAGCCAGAACATTAATCAGCCAGAAGTCAAGAGTAATAAGGTTTGCAATTAATAATGATAATGTATTTTTCTTAATTCAAATAAATCCTATGGTGAATATAGCACATCACCCATACGGGGTGATGAGAATCTGTTTTCAAGATTAAGTTGGAGAATGACTTGATGACCAAAGAGGAGCACTGCCAACAAAGGATTTGATGAATGTTTTCAGAACTTGGGCCCTCTGGAGACACCTGAAGGACAAAGAATGGCAGGAGGCAGGTAAAGGAAGTTACCACTAGGATCTGGGGTGATGGCTTGAATACACACGTGAAACCCGGAAACAACATCAAATATTCACCTTAGGATCTAAATTGACATTTATAAAGGGTCAACTCTCAGACTAAAGTTCTAAACTTGCCCACTGTGTACCTCCAAATTAGGTCAAGGATCATGCCTTATGCACAAGAAGCCAAAAGGGTGCCATGCTCCTTGACTTCTCCACCTTTGGGGTATCAAACAGCTGCCCAAGATGTTCTATGGGGTTGGTAGACAGTCCAACCATCACAGACAGCTCCTTTCAGAAAATCATCCTTGCATGACAAGAGCAAGTATCCTAGAAACACGATTACTTTGGAATAGATAAATCTGTTTCCATATCTACCCCTTGATTTCAGTATGATATAAAACGAAGAAAGTCAGTCACTATACCAAAGCAACAGAGACCTAACACTCGTGCCTGAGTGGTGCTTACTTCTGGCTCTTGGCTATCTTTCCCGACGACTCCATCTCATACATGGTCTGCAACCGGCACTTCACAAGCTCCGTGGGGCAGAGCACCAGCGCGGCAAAGGCAGAGGCAAAGGAACCAGCGGCGGCGTTCTGCAGATCACTGGAAGCAAACAAGCACAAACCAGTTACCTGGGACTTATTCCTCTAGCATATGCCACGCCCAGAGCATTTTGGTGGTAAAGGAGCGTGAGGTGAAAGGAGGGAACTTGCATGTGCTGTTTTGTCTAAGGATCCCACAGCCCTGTGAGGTCGAGAGTAATATCCCAATTCCCATATGGGGAAAGGATGCTTAGCAATGACATGGAGTGTGCCCAAAGTCACACAGCTATAAGTGGTAGTGCTAGGATTCAAATATGGTAATATCTTGCCCAACTGCAATATCCATTCTATTCTGATTAAACACAGTGCTTGGGAGTAAATGCTTATGCCTCTCTACTCCCACCAAAATTCACGTGTTGAAGCTCTTACCCCCATGTGGTGCCATTTCAAGGTGGGCCCTTGGGAAGGAACAAGGTTAAAGTGAGGTCATGGGTAAGCAGGTGATGTGGTGGTTAAGGCTCTGGACCCTCCCACATGGCTGACAATGGTTTGAGTCCTGGACCTGGTGGCTTGCCCTGTCACTTTCCTTCTCTCTGTGTGTCTGTCTTTCTCTGGTCAGATGAAAATAAATGAATGAATAAATAAAATAAATAATTCTTAAAAAAAATAAGTGAGGTCATGAGGGTGGGCTCCTCGTGATGGGATTAGTTAAGAAACAAGAGAGTTCTCTCTTCCCCCCGCCCCTACTCCTGTGAGGACACAATGAGAAAGGCTATCTGCAAATCAGGAAGCAGGCCCCCCACCAAACACTGGTCCTCCTGATGCCTCAATTTTGGATTTCCCAGCCTGTAGAACTGTGAGAAATGTTTGTTGTTTGAAGTATCCGGTCTGTGGTATTTGGCCATGGCAGCTGGAGCTAAGACACACAGTGATGAACCAAATAAAACCAAACAAATCCCAAAGGAGAGAGGGAAAAATTACCCAAAAGTCTCACCACCCAAAAACATGCACTATTGGGGTCAGCAGGTGGTGTAGTGGTTAAGGCACTGGACTCCTACATGTATGACCATGGTTTGAGTACTGGACCCAGCAGCTTGAAACTCATGCCATGCATGTGTGTGTGTATGCCCAAAATCCCAAGAGGAGAAAGGAGGACAAGGGATTGTGGCAGGGCCATTTTGCCTGGGGGATGATTTCTCATTTTCTGTCTCTCACTCCCTCTCTGTCTCTCTGGTAAGTGCACGTGCCCTAATAGCAAAACATCTCTAAAAAAAATATAAACTGCACTACTAACACTTCGGTGTACATGTTACTAATCTTTAAGTAAGGTTCTGAAGCCCCTCCTACATACCCCAGATCCAGCCTGAAGCCACCGAAATGTCAATGTAACTGTCACAGCTAAAACCCTGGGATAAAAATGTTGCTGTTGTGAAAAGCCTGCCTTCCCAGTTCTGCTGGCATACTCAGCCTCAGCCACGCCGAGGCAAGAGGAGAACGTGAAGGTGCCAAGGGAGGGGGTGAAGCCAGGGCAAGTCTGAGGCTCAGTGGATTCCCATGAGATGGCTAAGATGGAAATCTAAACGAGACAGCGGGATGAACACACACAAATACAAAAAGAGGAGCATTTGCCTCATCTCATGCATTTAGTACTTTCAGCCACAGTCACTGGCAGGGGTGTGAAACTGGAATCCACCAAGGGTTAAAAAATACAAGGACAAGTTGGAGAAACTTAGGAAGTTACTTCTCTGAGAATTCACGGAGGTCACAAATGAAAATCCCTTCCGGCCCCTGGGATACTGTTGTCACAGAAACAATGTTTGGGGTGGGACGATCATTCACTGGACAGAGGACTGAACTTGTTCCCTGGCACTCAGTGTCACTCCCTGATGGCATCCTGCTGTCACTGGACAGCAAAAACAAATGTCCCTGGGTGGGAGGGATAGACTGCCTTAGGTAGAGAGACCTAACATTTTTTCCTCTAAAATTGAACGTGGTAGGTCCATGTGTGCTTTTGCTCACAGTTTAGAGGAAAATGGACCTACCACATTCAGTAGTCCTAAGGATTCACCACTGTTAAACACTAGTATAAAAATCGAGGTCCAGCACGTAAGCATGGTGGTTGGGGTGCTGGACTCTCACATAGCCACATGGCTTGAATCCCAGACCAGGTGGTGTGTTTTCTTATTTTTTTTTTAAAGAATTATTTAACTTTTTAATTAATGAATTTTTTTTTGGAGAGGTTTTTGCTATAGGGCACGTGCGCTCGCTAGACAGAGAGAGACAGAGAGACAGAAAGCAAGAAAGCATCCCCCAGGGGGGATGGCCACGCCACAATCCCTTCTCCTCCATTCTCCTCTCGGGATCTTGGGCACACACGCACACGCACCCGGCATGAGTTCTAAGCTACCGGGTCCGGGACTCAAACCGCAGGCGACTACATGGGAGTCCAGCGACATAGCCATTACGCTAACCTCTGGTCCCAATTTATTTATTTTTATTTGACCAGCGAGTGAGTGAGAGAGAGAGAGAGAGTAAGAAAGCAAGCCACCAGGTTTGGGACTTGAACTGTGGTTGGCCTTTCTCTGTCCCTTTCTCTCTTTCTCATCAAATTAAAAATAATAATAATTTAATTAAATAATTATTTTAAGAAAAAATGGGGGTAGCCACTGGTTTTGGCCTCATTTCCTATTCCCTGGGTGTACAGCCTTTAGATGGATGCAAAAGGGGTGAGTCCAGATGCTGAGCCGGCCTCTCCTACACCTGGCTCTCTCAGACAGCTGGCTTGGAGGGGGGCTTTCTTTCAGGAGGAAGATACTGCTTACAGCATGCACTGCCTTTTGATTTCAGAGAAATAAACCTAAGACTCGCCACTAGTGGATGAGAACCAAGAGCACGATTACAACACATGCTTTCCAGTGTGTGGAAACTGTGGAAACTGGACCCTTCCAGTCCGCATCTTCCTCCCCACCTCACTCCTCCTTCGCTTGTTTGTCAAAACCAAAGCTTCAAATGGTTTTTGTGGGGCCAGCAGGTGGTGTAGTGGTTAAGGCACTGGACTCCCAAATGTTGACCGTGGACCGTGGTTGAAGTCCCGGATGCCACAGCTTGAAAGTCACACTAGACATGTGTGTGCAAACCCAAAATTCAGGAATGGAGGAAAAGGGACTGTGACACGGCCATTCCATTGTTTGTCAAAACCAAAGCTTCAAATGGTTTTTGTGGGGCCAGCAGGTGGTGTAGTGGTTAAGGCACTGGACTCCCAAATGTTGACCGTGGACCGTGGTTGAAGTCCCGGATGCCACAGCTTGAAAGTCACACTAGACATGTGTGTGCAAACCCAAAATTCAGGAATGGAGGAAAAGGGACTGTGGCACGGCCATTCCACTTGGAGAATGATTTCTCACTTTTCCTCTCACTGTCTCCCTCTGGCAAATGGACACACCCAATGGCAAAAACGTCAAAAAAAAAAAAAAGGTTTCTGCTGTCTTTCAACCAGTCTACAGATCCATATTCCCCACCCACTGCCCGCCGGCCAGGAACTCTCTGTCACCCTGCTGACAGGCAATAGTCAATCAGGGTCATTAACCAGAGTTTGCCAAGTTCGCTGGAACAAAGGTGGCAGTCAATAAACATAAATGTCTGTTCCACCTGGGATGCAATAACTGCTCAGATGGCTGAACGCACACCAAGCACGCTATTGAAACCCAAGGACAAGGCCAAACCAGATCTGCAGTGGACTTTGGTTTTCTAATAAATGCTTTCGTCTACCAGTGCACGAAGTGAGGGGCATGGGCCTCCGGCACCGCGAGTCATATAAAGGTGCAGACCTGGAACTGAAATGGCAACAGGCGTAGGCTGGGATTTTGGACAAATCACCTGTCATCTAGTCAACAGACACGTGCCCGAACACTCCTGCTGTGTAAGATCCTGCCCAGCCAAAAGTCACAGCAGCACACTGCTCTGGGTCACGCTCAAACCAGGAACACACAAATATTGACAGTGTGATTGCAGAAATTCACAATGGGCTCTCACACACGGTTCCCTTCTTCCCTGGCTCTTGATTACTCTCTAGATCTGACCCCTACAAAAGATTCCAGACCCTAAGTATGCTCTGACGGCAAGAAAGCCAGTCAGGGGTACAGAAGACACGAGTTTGAGCCCTGGGTCCAGAGCTCTTGAGCACATCAGCATCACGCCTTGGTTTTCCCATCCATGAGACAGGACACCACCTGCAGTGGGCCTCTCACAGGTCATGGCGAGGTCACAGGACTCAGTGTCCATATCAGAGCTCTGTGGACTCCAGGACGGTATTTCCCTTGCAAGTAACGACCAAGCCCTGTTCCCAGGATAAGGAAGAACATGTCTCCAAGCTCAGAAAGATCCCAGTGCTGGGTGGGATGGTGTTAGGATAGTTTCTTTACTACGGATCTTCTGTACATCGTTCACCAACTAGATAACATGTACGCTACAGGAAATAAATGTACCCAGGGAGATTCTCCACTAGAGAGAGAGACTATGTTGTACTTCCCGCCTCTTCTCAGAGACCCCAGTTCAGAGTTCTGAATAGTTCTCCATCAGGAGACCAGCAGGTGGTGTGGTGGTTAAGGTGCTGACACTCCCACATAGCCAACCATGGTTTGAGTCCCGAACCTGGTGGCTTGCTTTCTCACTTTCCCTTTCTCTCTTTCTCTCTCTCTCTCTGGTCAAATGAAAATAAATGAATAAATAAATAAAATTAAATAATTATTTTTAAAAAATAGTTCTCCATCAGAAAAGCCACGTGTTCCTACTTGTCTTCCTTCTGTTCACAGACTAAGAAGGAAAAAAGGGGGACAGGACAGGCAGGGCCAAACGCATCATGGTTCTCTTCACACAAGAAGTCACTGTGTTTGTCCTATGGCCAGAGAGGGCTGCTCTGCTCCAAAAAGAGGATGTAGTTTTTCCTCCAAAACTTCACATAGTGGCTCCCCGTTTCCCTGTCTTGAAGAAGAATAAACTCCAGGTCTCCTTAGAATGTCTCTCCCTCAACTGGGAACAAAATTAGTCACCCAACGCTCAGCTTGTGTAGTCTCCATGGTGGGATCCCACACCCCTGGTTATGTCTTTACTTCGTAGCTTCTTCCTGGCCTCTCTGTGCTGGAGGGTGGGAGGAACAGGGCTCCGCCCTCCTTTGAGCTACATTCCAACTACCTCCAGGTCCAAGCCTCTAAAACACAAATTCTCTCCATCATGACAGAACAATTTGGAACCCAAGAACCTACTTTAGCCACAAAGGACCTGTATTTGCAATAGGGTTTCAGATTCCTATCAAAATAATGAAGAGACTGCCCTTCGCAACCATGAAGCGGACATGATTTTAGATGATTTAAAATAAGTCAGTGTTCCTGGGGCCAGCAGGTAGCATAGCAGTTAAAGGTGCTGGACTCCCACATGGCCGACTACGGTTCAAGTCCTGGACCTGGCAGCTTGCTTTCTCACTTTCCCTCTCTTGCTCTCTCTCTCTGTCTCCCTCTGGTGAGTATATGTGCCCTATGACAAGTTTTAAAAATAATAATAATAAATAAAATTAAATAAACAACTCTTTAAAAAGTATTAAGGGATCAGCAGTTAGCGTAATGGCTATGTCACTGGGCTCCCATGTAGTCAGCTGCGCTTAGCGTCCCGGACCCGGTGGCTTAAACCTCACGCTGGGTGCATGTGCGTGCATGCCCAAGATCCTGAGAGGAGAATGGAGGAGAAGGGACTGCGGCATGGCTATACCCCCTGGGGGGTGATGTCTCGCTTTCTGTCTCTCTGTCTCTCTCTGTCTGGCGAACACACAAGCCCTATGGCAAAAACCTCTCCAAAAAAAAAAAAGTATTAAATCAATGTTCAAGGGAGAAACAGCTAAACTTCCAGTGGGCAAAAAGAATACCAAAATGTAAGAATAGTTTGTTTTCAGGACCAGCAGGTAGCATAATGGCTATGTCGCTGGACTCCCATATAGCCGACCGCGGTTTGAGTCCCTGACCCGGTAGCTTCAACTCACCTCAGGCGCGTGTGCGTGCATACCCAAGATCCCAAGAGGAGAATGGAGGAGAAGGGATTGTGGCGTGGCCATCCCTCCTGGGGGGTGATTTCTCACTTTCTGTCTCTCTGTCTCTCTCTGTCTTCCTGGCATGTGCACGTGCCCTATAGCAAAAAAAAATCTCCAAAAAGAAAAAAAAAAGAATGGTTTGTTTTTGGTGGTGATTTAGGGGCACGTTTCCTTGCATAATTCATTCCAAGTTTCATACAAGATATGTACTTTTAGAATCAAAAAGAAAGAACAGTCAGTCCTCTGTATTTGTGAGTGTAGCTTCTGCAGATTCAACCAACCACAACTGAAAATATTTTGGGGAAAATAAAAATATCAATTAAAAATAAATAAATAAATAACAATACAATAGAATCACTATATAGCATTTGCATGGCACTAAGAGATCTAGTAATCTACAGATGACCTAAAGTATGTGGGAGGATGTGTGTAGGTGATTTGCTGTCTCATATAATGAACTTGAGCATCCACAGATTTTGCTATCTTCAGGGGTCCTGGAAACAATGTCCTACAGATACCAAGGGATGACCATAATTACATTTTTTTTTTAATTGCCAAAGGGTACATGTACTCACCAGAGTGAGATAGAAAAGGGAAGGGAAACAACACCTCCCAGTGGGGGATAGTCACTCTGATCCTTTTTCCTCCACCTTTCTATCCTGTCGATTTGGGGTGCACACACCCCAGTGTGTTGTTCAAGCTTCCAAAGCCAGGATTCAACCACAGTCAGCCATATGGGATTCAGCTCCCTCAACCACTAGGCCATAGGGCCAGCCCTGTTTTTTGATGACTGTAGTTTTTTTAAAAGGAAACATTTTCTCCCTATAGGGTTCATGACCATGCAACAATGTTCTTGATTTTTAAAAGAAAATGCCCTTGGCACTGGCAAGTGGCATGGTGGTTAAGGCGCTGGACTCCCACATGGCCAACCATGGTTTGCATTACAGACCTGGTGGCTTGCTTTCTCACTTTCTCCCCCCCCAACCCCGTCAAATTAAAAATGAGTAACATTAAAAAATAAATAAAACATTAAATAATTCTCAAAAAAAAAAAAAAAAGAAAAAAAGAGTCCTCAACTCACCTCAGCTTTGCCTGCTTGTCTAATCCAACCACTTTTCGTACCACCTGCTGGCAGAAGCCATAGCACATGAAGAGGACTGAGTTCTCAGCGATATTGGCGATCAGTGCTGGGCTGGTTCCCTTGTAGAAGCCACGGAAGCCCACCTGGGAGTAGGTCTTCAGGCAGCAGTCAGTCAGGCCCCGGTACAGGTCGGGGAAAGTCTGCATCTTCACCTTCATTGTGTCAAAGGGCTGCCCAGTCAGCACACATGCTGTGCCCCCTGCAAGCAGGACAGAATTCTTCTCTAGAATAGTCTACAGCTTTGTTTTACAGTGTAGCCTCAGTTATCCATGGAAGTGAGGGCAGACAGCCTACCCCAGGGTTCATTTTGACCTCGCTCCTCCCAAACCTTCTAGCAGAGTCCAGGAAACAACTTCGGTGGACACCTAGAACATACCCTGAAGAAGCACGTTCTCAGAAGAGGAAGATGTGTGCTCCATGGACATAGTCACAGGATGCCAAGGTGTAGCACGAGTCCAGGATGGAAGGAGCCTGAACTGAAGCCTGGCTATGCTATGTGATCCTAGACAGGAGATTAAACTGAGCCTCAGTTCCTCATCCATGCCCGCCTCACACCTGGAGGAGACAGGCTCTGTATCGCACCTACTACAAGGGACAAATTGATAGCAGTCACTGTGTGTGTGAGACAGAAGCTATGTAAAGGGGGATCCCCGGCGACTTCATCACTCCTTCATGCCTAATGCCCAGTGGTACCAGAGACTCTTGGAAAAATAACAGAGGATGAGACACCAGATAAAGAAAACAGGAGTCAGCTAATTAATCCCTAAAGAGCTCAATATTTCACTGTAGTGAAAAACCTCTAATTGGAACTCTACCAACATTCATAGCCTGTATTCAGATAGGGAACGGACTGAAATCTACCTTTGCTTACCTACATCCTAATAGGTGCTGTTATCTGTGAGAATATGAAATATAGCAAAGCCTAAGTTACATTAGATTACTAAAAATTCTGAATGCAAAGAAAGAAATTAATTATAAATGCTTTATAATAATCCCCAGATCCTAGACTGGGGTCAGCATTGGGAACTGGTTAACATTGACTACCTTCCTGTGGGTGGCCCAGGAACATTCAAAAAATGCAAATTTCCTAACTTCTACATTATACACTGTTATTCCACCTAAATTGTGAAAAGCAGAGATCAGGGAGGAGCCATTAAGAATAATTCTGGGCTGGCTCTGTGGCCTGGTGGTTAAGGCAGCTGGATCTACATGGCCAGTGGCAGGGTTTGATTCCTGGGCCTGCAGTCTTGGTCAATAAGCATGCCCAAAATCCCAAAAGGAGTAAGAGCTGGAGAAAGAACTGTGGCATGACCATTCCCATGAGAGTACTTTCTCCTTTCCTTCTCTCTGGTGAGCACATATACCCTCTAGTCAAAAATAAATAAATAAATAAAGTGACCCGCAGCTCCTGAGGCTGGACCACTGCACGGCAACAGAGGCAATGCTCTATGAGACTGACCCACATGAGCAGGCCCAGGGTTCGCATCCAGAGAGCTCCTTGAGTACACCCAGCCCACATGCGCCCATGATTTGGGACTGGCTGGAGGTGGGGGTTCATGGTGTCAAGACTCTGTTGGGGGAGCTATGCATCTCTCTTGTCTCTTTCACTCATGGGAAAAATAAACTTGAAAAACAGTAATAACCAAACACTCTCAATCCTTTTTTGACAAACTGACATTCTAGAGTTTGAAAACTACTTAATTTCTTCCTTCTTCTTCTTCTTCTTTTCTTTTATTAGTTATTTATTTGGGACCAGCGGATCGTATAATGGTTATGTCGCTGGACTCCCATGAAGTCAACTATGATTCAAGTCCTGGACCCATCAGCTAAAAACTCACACCAGGTAAGTGTGCATACATTCCCAAAATCCCAAGAGAAGAATGGAGAAGGGATTGTGGTGTGGCCATCCTCCTGGGGATTGATTTCTTGCTTTCTGTATCTCTGTCCCTTGTGTGAGCGCATGTGCCATATAGCAAAAATCTCTCTAAAAAAAAAAAAAAAGAATTCTTTTATTTATTATTATTATTATTTCTCCACCCACTACAGCACACATGTACTCAACAGAGATACAAGGTAGGAGGGTTGGGGTGAGAAAATAAGGCACCAGGCCCAGGACTTAAACCATGGGTGGCCATGTAGGAGTCCAGTGTCTAAACCACCATGCCACCTGCTGGGCCCTGATCTCTTTTTTTAAGCAACTGAAGGGGATACAGTATGATCTTATCATACTGTTCAGTTCTTCTAGGAATAATGATACACTTCTGTGTTGTTTTGCCAAATTATCCCCAACCCTGAATTAGTGCAATACAATTTAAAATAACTTTCCTATAGTTAGACTCATTACCTCCCAGGTACTCCTGGGCTAGGATAAAATGAGACCTGATTTATTACAAAATAATATATTAATTCCAAAGAAGAGGTGACTATCAGAATTTTTTAAGTGGGTACATAGTATAAAATAACATAGATGCAGATAAGCTGAATAAAGCATTTGATTCGCCACATTAATATTTTAACTGAAGAAGGGGGCCAGTGGCATAGTAATTAAGGTGCTGGACTCCCACATGGCTGACTGCAGTTCGAGTCCCAGACCTGGTGGCTTTCTTTCTCACTCCCTCCCCTTAGGTGACTGTGCATGCCCTATCGCAAATCAAAGAAAATAATAACAATAATAATAATAAATAAAATTAAATAATTCTTTTTTTTTTAAGAGAGATTTTTGCTATAGGGTGTGTGCACTCACCGGAGAGACAGAAAAAGACAGAAAGACAGAGAACAAGAAATCACTCCCCCACCCCCCCAGGGGAGATGACCACACTGCAATCCCTTCTCCTCCATTATCCTCTCGAGACTCTGGGCATGCACACACAGGTGCCTGGTGTGAGTTTTAAACCTCTGGGTCGGGGACTCAAACAGCAGTCAGCCATGTGGGAGTCCAACAACATAACCACTACACCATCTGCTGGTTCCAAAATTAATTCTTTTAAAAAAAATATTTTAACGGGAGGTTTTTACATTCTTTTCTTATTTTTTTTAATTACCCAAAAGCATGTATGCTCACCAGAGAAAATGAAGAGAGAGAGAGAGAGAGAGAGAGAGACCACCCCCCAATGAGGCATACGAGAGAGAGAGAGAGACCACCCTCCAATGAGGCATAGTCACACCACAATCCCTTCTCCATTTTTACTTCCTGTCAGGATTTGGAGCACACATGCACATGTACCTAGAGTGTTTTTCAAGCTACTAGGGCCAGAATTCAAACTGTAGTTAACCATGTAGGATCCAGCTCTATAAACTACTTGCTACACCAGCCCTAAATGGAGGTTTCCTACCTCTTAACTCTATCACCCTAAATACTTCAGCTATCACAAGTTATTAAAATATACATGTTATATATATATATTTGTGACAGTCATATTTCCAATAGAGAGAAGGTGGGAGCTGGGAAGGTGAGAGAGAAGGTGAGAGAAGGTGGGAGTGTTCAATGTTAGCTACAGTTCCCTCCCCTCAGCCCTGCAATGGGCTCACGGCCTCTGTCCACAAGAGACATCCTGGTTTGCTGTGTCCCCCCTAGTGTAAGCAATGGCCATGCTGAACAACAGACACCCAACAGGTTTCAGAAGACCCACTGAGTCAGTAAAGACATGAATAAATCTCAGGAATTAGGGACCACACCACAGTCACCTACATCACTGGACTCCCATGTAGTTGACTGAGGTGTGAGTCTCAGACCCAGTGGCTTAAAACTCACTCCGGGCACATGTGCGTGCGTGCCCAAGATCCCAGGAGGAGAATGGAGGAAAAGGAATTGCAGCATGGCCATCCCCCCGAGGGGTGATTTCTTCCTTTCTGTCTCCCTGTCTCTCCAGTGAATGCATGTGCCCTAAAAAACAATGTCAGGGATTAAATATTTCTCCACTTGCACAGGAATTAGGCTTCTGATCACATTATTCTCCTTAAAAGACAAATAAAAATGTTCTTTAGGAGGTGTGACAGCTGACCAGGCATTTTATTCCATAAGAGAGGCATGGAGACCATGTTGTCCCAATGCTTCACTAAGGATGGTGTTTGGGATTCTCAGTCCTTGACCCAGGGTCAGCCAATCATGAGGTGACAAGTCTACCAGGGCAGGAACAGACTGTGGGGAGGGCAGGGAAGTGAGAACAGAGAAGCAGGCTTACAACCACGAGGAGAGGTGACAACCTCTGCAGGCAACCAATAAAGTGAAGGGCAACAGGGCAGGCGCGGGAGTGGGGAGCAGTCTCCCCTGCACCTGAGCAGAGGCACTCCTCATGGCCTCTCATCCCGGGAGGCCCCCTTGCCCAGCGCTGTAATACGCCTTATCAGCGTCCGGAGTACCTGTCCCCCGCCTTCATCAGCCTACTCCAGCTGACCTTTGGTTCATGGAAAAATATTCTGTTCTCTGAATAGTGATTTCTTTTCGGCAACTGAGCAAATGAGAGAATGAGACACGATAGCTCCCTAGCCACACCTGCTTTGGCGACCTGAGGTCACACTGGGTAGGAGGGCACTGAGTTACACATCCCTGTAGCCTCCCTGCTCCGGGGACCTGCACCTTTATGAAAACTGGTGTGGGATGCCAGGCTAGACCAGGGTTTTCATTAGTGATGTATGAACACTTCACAGTTCTCTGGGCCTCTTCTGGGAAAGCAAAATACCTCCACACACTTCCAAGTCCATCCTTTGCCCAAGGCTGAGGTTCCTTCCTGCTATTCCTGCCTCTTAAAGGCACAGCCGATTCTGCAGTTCAAATCTTGGGCCCTGTAACTCAAAAAACTCGCCAGGTGCATGTGTGTGCATGCCCAAAATCCTGAGAGGAGAGTTAAGAAGGGATTGCAACATGGCCATGCCCCAGAGGGATGATTTCTCACTCCCTTCCATCTCTCTCCAGCAAACACACACACCCTTTGGGGGGGAAAATGGCAGTCTTTCTGATAGGTAGCCTGTATGTGGCCAGCGTTGCCCAGCAACACGCACCTGTGCTGAGGGAACAGGGAACCTCAGTCTGCCCTTGGGCTCGGGTGCCTCGGCTCAGCCTTAGCTGGGGATTCCCAGTAAATCCTACCTCTGCTCCTTTTCTTTCATGGCTTTAAGACACAGTCAGATATTAGTCTCATTTAAGACATTTCTAAAAGGTACTCTCCTTTCTTTTCAAACACTAGTAAGAACAGTAACTGGTGTTTTGCTGGAGAGATGACATGGTATGATCTTTGCACCACAAGGACTCTGAAGAAGCCAGGCTTGGCATAGAGTCTCGTGTCACCTGAATAACCCACGCCTGTGACAAAGGACAAGTGACTTCATCTCTGAAATTTCACTCCTCACCCTGTCTCATAATTTTAAGAGAACAAATACTGGGACCAGCAGATGGTGTAATGGCTATGTCGCTGGACTCCCATGTAGTTGACCGTGGTTCGAGTCCCAGACCTGGTGGCTTAAACTCACACTGGGCATGTGTGCGTGCGTGCCAGAGATCCTGAGAGGAGAATAGAGGACAAGGGATGGGGCATGACCATCCCCCTTGGGGGGGTAATTTCTCACTTTCTCTCTCTCTGTCTCTCTCTCTCTGTCTTTCTGGTGAGCACACATGCCCTATAGCAA